AAAAGAAAAGAAAAAGTAAGAGACATAGCGAAGTCCCTATGTTCAAACTCCAGTGCCACAAAAAAGTAAACTATTTGGTGTTTGGAAAGTGATAGATGGTACAGAGAGAAATCCAGGGTGCGAAGATAAGGTGCAGTGGTGGGGACACGGGTCCGTTTCCGAATGGTGGTGGAAGAAGGAGTCGTTGAGGAGAGGTCCGAGAAAGGACCCACAGCAAGCGAGCCTGGCTGGGAGCCAGGGTAAGGACCAGAGGGACGGAGGGTCTGAGATGCTCCAGGACCAGCAAAGACCCGCGTGGCTGGAGTGAGTAAGCAAAAGGGGCAGAAAGGACACGGGTGCGGAGCATGATCCGGGCTGGGCAAGGAGCTGCTTTTCAGGGCCTTGCATGCCACTCTAAACATTTCAGTTTTTCCACTGAGTGATCTGGGACACGACTACTGCAGGGCTTTGAGCCAAGACGTGATGTGATCTGACAGCATTCTAAAGGGATCCTGCTGGCTGCTCTGAGGGAAGCCAGTCAGGAGTTTGGTGGGTTTGCCCAGAGATGACGACGGCTTAGACCTAGTGGTACTTACTGGAGAATTGTTCCAGTTCTGGATATATTTTAAAGGTAGAATATGTTACAGAATATGCGGCGGATCAGATGTGGCATGTATTATAAAGAAGAGAGTCAAGAATAAATCCAAGGTTTTGTGCTTAAGCCCCTGGATGGATGAATTATCATCAAGTTAACGAGGAAGACTGTACAAGCAAGTCTCGGAATAAAGATCAAGAATTCATCTTTGGACGCACTAAGTCTGAGATGCCCGTTAGGCAGTTAAGTGAAAATGGGCAGTGTCTCGTTGGGTATGTAAGTCAGGAAATCAGTGTGCAAGGTCGGGGTCGGAGATAAAACTTTCGAGCCAGCACAGATCACAGTTAGAAGCCGCAAAAGACTTAATGAGGTCCTGAAGGGAGGGGCTGAGACGAGAAGTGTACAGCTCTGAACTCAAGGTGCTCCGAGGTTAAAAAGTGGACAAAATGAGAAGGAACACAGGCTGAGGCAAGAGTCAATGAGAGCAGGAAAACCAGGAGTGTGTAGTCGGGGAGGTGAGGAAAGCGATCAGAAGGGCAAGAAATGAGTGTGGCGTTAAATGTTACGAACAGAAGTACAGTGAAACTGAGACCTCGCCGCTGAGTTTACGTATATGGGCCACTGGTTAGCCGACGAGAGCTATTTTGGTGGAATGTGCGTCTTGAAGCCTGACCCGCCTGTGTTCAAGAAAGAATGAGGCAGCACACAGCACCCTGATTAACAAACTCAAGGTGCCGACCATCTCTGACGCTGTTTCCCTCTTTGATACTGGGCACCATCTTCCCTTTGGGGTGTCAGACTTCCATCTGCCAGTGTGTACTTCTCTATGCCTGCGGAGTTTATTTGACTCTTTCATGCACCAAAGGGTAGTGCCAGGAAATTAACCTCCCTGGGAGCAGCTCTCCACCACTGACTGCTGGGAGCTGGCAGGTAAACAGCCCAGCTCCTTTGCCGTTTAGCTGGGTGTGTGTGAGGTGCTTCTGAAGCTGGTGGTTTTATACCACCGCCCAGCATATACATGAGAAATGAGCTGCATTGCCCATGCTGGTAGCCAGGCTGGAAGGAGCAGCCTCTACTGATTGTTTTCCCTGTACCTTGCAAATAAATTGTTTGGACTTGAATCTTTCCTTCAAGGTCTGCTTCTCAGGGAACCTAAATTAAGACACTGTGTATTCAGATATTGTGGTGGACTGACAAATGGTGGTTAATGTGTAACACCCAACTGAACTGAACCAGCGTGGTGCTGGGTGTGGAAGGCCCACCTGGGGATTGTTGTCAGCAGCACAGAAGCAGAACTGGAGGGGAAGACATTACTGAGGCTGGTGGGAGCTGGTCGGAGCTATGGGGAGCCTGTTGGAAGCTGTTGAGAACTGTTGGTTTTCCCGGAGGAGCTTGTCATGCTGGCTTTCCTGATGAACTCGGCTGTTCTCATCAGAGGAGGAGCTCAGCACGGCACCATCACTGAGAATGGCTTTGATTCACTTTGGGGGAGCTCTGTCCTCACTCTGAGCATCACTGCCTGGCTCCAGAGGGGAAGGTGATACACTGCTTGGTCTCGTGGAGAAGCCTGTAGCACTGGCTTTCCTGACGGGAACTCAGCTGCCCTCATTGTTGGAGGAGCTCTGGACCTCACTGTTGCTGAGGATGGCTGTGGTACTTTTCGGGGGAGCTCTAGTTCTTATTTTGAGCATCACTTCCTGGCTCCAGTGCAGATCCCCCAGCCAGCTAGCACAGATCCTTCATCCCGCTGGCACAGACTTCCTAGCTTCCACCACTGACCTATGGGCCTTCGCAGTGGAGACTCATGAAACAGGCCTGCATGAGACATTGTCATGGGCTCCACACCACCAGTTGGACTCATGGAAGGCACTGTTATGAGCTCTCGGTCTTCAGCTGGACTCATGAGGGACATTTCCAGCCCTCAGCTGGATTCTTTTGTCTTTAGTGTGTGGATAGATTTCTTGCACTCTCTTTCTGTGCATGATTCTTTGGGTGACTATGATAAATAATCTTGTAAAATATTGTCCCCCATTATGTTGTCCTGTATTATATTGTTCCCCCTGGCAAAAACTCCAAACCGACACAGAAATAACCTAAAATTTAATAAGCTCGTAGGCCCTATATTAATAAATGCTAACAGTTTATAGTTTACACAATTTGCCATAAAAAGCCCCTTCTTAACACATGATTTTGGGCAAACATTCTCAAAGCATTAGAAAATGGGAAGATGGAGACAACTTCCTTTTTGCAAATAATCCTGAGGCTTTTCTTTCTATCTGTGAAGATAAGAAATATGTATTTGACCTTTGCTCCGGGTTCCTGACAAAGCACTTCTAAACTCTTGGAATTTCCGGAGTAATGGGGTGACAGGAACATCTTTTCTTATTCACAAACCCTCTCAAACCATGTCCAAGTGTGTGCTGCTAAGGTGACCCTGTGGGGCTGTAGGCAGGCTCAGGACCGTGGTTGGTTGCTACAGGAACCAACCGTGTAGAACTTTCAGCCCCACCTCTGTACTTCCTGGGAAAAGGGAGGGATTAGAGATTGAGTTCAGGGACCTACTTCCACTAATTCTCAACCAGGCCCTCCATAAAGCCTCCATAAAACCTCTGTGCAGTGGTGTTGAGAAACCTTCCCGCTGGTAAACACAGGGAGTTGCCGGGAGGGTGACGCACCCAGAGAGGGCAGGGAAACTGCACTTTCCCTCCGTACCTTCCCTGGGCCTCTCTTCCACTCTGCTTTCTCTGATACGTGTCCTTCACAATTAGCCAGTAGTGCAAGGAAAACGTTCTCCTGCGTCCCCTGAGCTGTTCTGGCGAATTATTGGGCAGCAGAAAGAGGTCGTCAAAATCTTTGTCTCATAGCTGTTTGGCCAGAAGTACAAGTGGCAACCTGGGACTTCCGCCTGGTGTCTGAAGTGGGGTAGTCTTGTGGGGTTGAGAACTTGGTGTGTGGGACCCAGCGACAATGCCAGGAAAATTGTGGCAGAATGGAATTGAGCTGCAGGACACCGAGTTGATGTTGGCAGAGAATTGGAGCGTTGTCTGGTGTGAGAATCCCCTACCCACCTCGGTGGGAAGTGTGAGCAGAGATGTGTAAATGTTGAGGGGCTGTTGAAACCTGTGAGTTTAGTGAGAGTGTCTTTCTCAGTCCTAGGGCAGGGAAGTGTGAGCAGAGATGTACCATACTCAGATTCTTTAAAAGTATCTTTGTGTCCTGAGTTTGGAAGGCATTACCACACTGTGTGCACTGCCGGGCACGGGGCTGAGAGCAAAAGTTTGATTTCACACCCGGTGTATTAATTTTGCATCTGTGATGTCTAATCATGCGAAGTCCAGGAAATTATTAATGAGGCAGTAATGCTCTGGGCTCCTGAGCGATTTTGCGCTTAGAACATTTTATGAGTATTCATTATTCAGCCTAGCATCTTTGAGGTAGATAGTTTACTTTACGGTTGGAGTGGTTACTTAACTCCTCGTGAGAGACGGAGATTTTTCCCAATGCAGCATACAATCACAATTAGAATATGTGCTTCTTTATGAGTATGTCAAGAACACCTCCTATTTAATGTAGCTAAATACATACTTCCTTTGTATTCCTATAGAACTAAATACGTTCTATTTCTAAAATTCTCTGAGAACCTGCTCGTCGTAGTTGCGGAGAGTCTTGGACCAGCAGCTGAGCGCTGACTATCCTATCACCTCTCTGTCTCAGCACCTGCTTTAGGGCCTTTTGAGAAAAGAAAGCCTGTCTGGAGCATCTTGTTATTTTCTTCAAGAGTACCTCCTCTTAGCCTGGGCCAGTGGCTCATGCCTGTAATTCTTGCCCTTGGGCAGGCTGAGTCAGGAGGATGGCAAGTTCAAGCCCAGCCTTAGTGAGACCCTGTCTCAAAATAAAAAAATAAAACTAAAAACATCTGGGGATGTAATTCAGTGCAAAGTCCCTGGGTTAAATAATCCCTAGTACTCCCCCCCGCCCCCCGACACACAAAGTACTTTCTTTACCCACATCTTAAATGTCACTCACATTGATATGGCTAGTTCTGCTTTTGTTCATTTCTTCTTCCATGTACTCTTCCTTGGGGAAAGCTTGTGTGTATAATGTTCACTGTGTGCCCCGTAGCCCTTTACAAATGCTTGCATTTTTGTGTTCACTTTCACCACTGCGACAAAATGCCTGAGCAAATCAACCTAAAGGGAGGGAAGGTTTATTTCTGGCTCAGTTTCAGAGGTTTCAGTGCATTGTCAGCTGGTTCCATTGCTTGACAGCTGGGAGCATGTGGTGAAGGTTCCTGCTTACTCACCCTAGAGGAGGGGGGAGAGAGAGAGGTGGGGGGAGAGGGAGAGGGAGAGGGAGAGAGACAGACAGAGACAGACAGAGACAGAGAGAGAACCCGTCTGGGTCAGCAGCCTACTAGATGGTGCCACCCACATTCATGGCAGGGCTTCCCATCGGTTTGCTGTACCACCTGCCACCTGCCACCTGCCTCTGGAAACACCCCCACAGACACATCCAGAAGCATCTTCTTACTATTCCCACTTTATAGACTAGAAAACTGAGGCACAGAGAAGTTAGAATTTGCCCAAGTTCCCACCGCTCGTAAGTGGTGGGGCCAGTACTTGGACTCTGTCTCCAGAAGCCATGTTGTTTATCACCTCACTGTTTTCTGCAGTGTAGACTGTGCGTATTCTTTGGAGAATCTCAAGCCTATTAGTCAAACCTATTTGCTTCTCGTGAGCAGCAGATCTATACATGCAAGTGAATGTACATTTCCATCTCACTGTCCAGGAAGTATTTCCAACTGCACACAACATAAACAGACCTCTTTAGCCTCTTTCTCCTCAGAACACCCTGTACCTGTCTTTTAGAAAATGGAATCAAAATCCAGCCCATGAAAGAGTCATAAATCCGGAGTTAACCTTGGCTCCCTATTTTCCTCTCAACTCTTATCTTCATGTTTCTTGCTTCTTTCCTGAATTGCTGATTAGCAAGAGTTCCAGTAGGTGAATAAGCCGTGTTCACCGCCGTGATTTATACATGCTTGGGCATAGCTGACGAGCTCGTAGGGAAAGTCTCCTCAAGGTCCATTTGCAAAAGCAAGCGAGAAGTCTGTGGAGGGGGATGGAAAAAAGGAGGGTTCAGTTTAAGGGAAATTGGATAGAACAATGAGCTTGACCGAAGAACAAAGTGAGCGTCAGGTTTGGAAGGGAAGGGGCCGGCCTGGAAATAGCGTGGTGTTTCTCACTTGCGTCTCTGACTTATAGCATGGTGTACAATATACTATTGTTGAAAAAAATTTTGTTTTGCCTAAGTACTGAGCCCGGGGCTTTCCACTGAGCTACATCCCCACTCCTTTTTTTTTTTTGAGACAGTGTCTTACTAAGTCACTAAGTTACCCAAACTAGAATCCAACTTGCGCTTTTTCTGCCTCGGTCTCCTAGAGTGCTGGGATTACAGGTGTGGGTCACTGTACCCACTCTATTGTTGGAATTTTACTCAGAATATGATACTGATATAATATTGCAGAACAGGAACCTTTATTCTGGGCTACATATTATAATTTTCGTATACCCATTTAAATCCTTTAATTTTTATTTTTAAATAACATTGTGAACTCTAAAATAAATGTAAAAAGTAAAATGTTCCATAACTATCTTCCTCCAAAAAACCCCTCTTTTCATGCCTTGATCAAGATAAATTATTTTTAAGTGAGACACATTTTATTTTTCTTGTATTTAAATCCACAATTATTTACATATAAAATGGGTATAAAGGTATTTAGTGATATGTTTATTAAATTTTAGAATAGAACCAGAGATAAATGAGATAATGTACCAAGTTTTTCTAAAACAAAGGTATTGTACTTTATGCATTTCAAAAAACACGTAAAACAATAAATATTAGAATAGTACATAAAAGTCAAATAATCAATAGTCCAACCATTCCAACCCATCATTTCAGTGTATTCTCTTTCAAGATGTTTTTCTTTCTTAAACAATAATATTTTAAGTATGTATAGAAAATGTATAATGCGTTTTTAAAAGACAACATAGAATTTGGTGCAGGGGGCATCAGAGCAGGTGTGGGGGTGCAGCTCAGTGGAAGAGAGCTTCAGAGTGCACGAGGCCTTGGGCTCATCAGTCCCCAGCACCGCAAAAGCAAAAGCAAAAGCAAAAACAAAAGTAAAGAGAGAAGGTATTAGAGTATCATGGTTAAGGGTATCCACTTTGGGGGAGGCGGTCTTCTTTAGAGTCCAGTCCCTATCTTCTGTGTATATGCATTTACATATTTATAGATGTAATTATGTAAGTTTACATGATTCTCCTAGCCATCACTTTGGCTTTTGCATAATAATTAATTTATTAGATGACGTCTAACATCATACATGTAAACCTTTCGTTATTTCCTAATTTATTGTATCGAAAACAGATACAGGGGCTGGGGATTTGGCTCAGCGGCAAAAGCGCCTGCCTGCAAGCGCAAGGTCGTGAGTTTGGTTCCCGGTAATGGAGAAAAAAACCAAAAAACCAAAAAAGAAAGCAGATACAGCCCATTGCTTCAATTTCCACTTCTTTTATTTCTAAGGTTATCCTACCATGTTTTCTTTTGTAAATCCTTTATTTAACAGGTGTGATTTCTTATAGATTTATGCACATTTTAAATAAGAAGCCTCATTGTCTTATTTCTTGAAAATATCTTCTGATTTGCTCTTTACCCTTTTGTTTTAGTTGAGTTTTTACACAGTCAAACCTGTTCTTTCCTTTATGTTTTCTTCTTTTAAGATTCTTCTTATTGAAATGACTGGTAAATAATTAATATTATTTTCTACCATTTAGTTTTCAAAATATTTAACTCTTTGATTCATGTGCAATTCATTCTAGCACGGACAAGGCATTTAATTATTTCCCTCATGTTTCTAAGCAATTATCCTAATGATATTTATTGAGCAATCTTCTATTATGCTTCCGAATTGCTTTCTATTTTTAGAATTTTCTCTATGGTAATTTTAAACCAGTAATACTGCCCACAAAATCCTGTGATCCCTTTTCACTATTATATTTTTTGTTTTTGTTTTGTTTTTGTTTTTTTTTTCCGGTACTGGGAATCGAATTCAGGACCTTGCACTTGCCAGGCAGGTGCTGTGAAGCTGAGCTAAACCCCCGTCCCCTCTTCACTATTATATTATCTCAAAGATCTTAAATATTCTCTTAGTCTCCACTCAGTGTAAACTCTGATTATATGACACGCAACTTTTCACTTAAGAAAAGCACCCGTGACTTAAAAGCTGAAATATAGGCTTTTAATTTGCTCTCAACAACTAACTTCGTGTACACATCCATCCGCAGCTGACAGTTTACGCTTAGTAATGAGAGGTAAGGGCCTTTTCTGAAGTTTTTCCTTGTCTTAGTTGCTTTTCTTATTGCTGAGACAAAATACCAGACACTCGAGGGGAAAGGAGGAGAGGCTTATTTCGGCTCACAGTTTGTAGATGTTTTAGTCCATAGTCAGCTGGCTCCAAGGCAGGGTGGCACGGCAGAGGGCATTACAGGAGAAACAGTCCATGGCAGGGCGGGCAGAATGCAGCAAGCAGCCAACCTGCCTTTCCCTTTCATCCCATTCAGGCTACCAGCCTTTCGCATGGTGCCACCCAGAAGTCTGCTGATTCTAATCAGCGGACTAATTTAGTACCACACACCCCTAATCCCAGTATGACACACCCTAGATCCAGCCAGCTTCAAAAATCCACCTACCAGCACATGAAACTTTGGGGGATCTCTAGATACAAGCTATAACAGGGCTCACAATAGTTTCTTCTCGCCAGAGTTTTTACATCACTGACAAAAATGAACAGAAAAAGGTACACAAGCCAGGTGTCATGGTGCATACCTGTAACCCCAGCACTCTGAGAGGCTGAGGCAGGAGGATTGAAAGTTGGATCCCAGCCTGCGTAATTTAGGGACTTAGTGAGATCTTGTCTTAAAATAAAAAGAATACAAAGAGTGAGAGAGGCAGCTCAGTGTGGAGGCCCTGGCTTCAATCCGCGGTAACATTTGCCCTCACTCCACCACAGATGAAGGCGTGCTCAACACAACCTCACTACCCCACAGCTGTACGCTTGGGTCCTACAACACATCCTTCCTTAGGGATTCCTAGGGTACATGCCCTTCCCCAAGATTCTGACTTTTTACTTAAAGTCCTCTCAACATTTTCTATGCGCTTCACCAGAGACTATCTCTCTAGTTATATGACTTCCCCTTCTTAGAAACGTCCTGTGACTCCCACTGCTTGAAGGACAATGGCCCACATTCTTCTGAGTGTTGACAAGCCCTTTCAGAACAGGGCTCTTTCTCTGTTTGCAGCTCCACTTTCCTTGCTCCTTCGTAGGAAGATGTGTTCTGACCGAGCGTCCCAGCGGGGGTTCACATGGCCCTGTCACTCAGGTTCGGGGAAGTTTGAGGCAAGGCAGAAGGGGCAGGTGGACCCCACAATGCCTTCACCCCAAAGACCAACCATAGGTAATGGACCGAAGTAGTAGGCCAAAGTCCTACCTACAGATCAAAACACAAGTGATAGTTTTGCAACTCTTGGTTACACAGAAATAGGGGAAGGAATGATGTTCGCCCTGGGGACAAAAGTAAAAAGATTCAGAATACATTTCAAGACCCAACAGGCAAGCCATGTAGAGTGATTATCTTGGTGGGGAAAATAAAGATGATTTTTGTGTGTCATACCAGAGATTGAACGCAGGCCTTCACACTGAGCTACATCCCAGGCCCTGCTTTTATTTTTTATTTTGAGACAGGGTCTCTCACTAAGTTGCTAAGTTGCCCAGGAGTATGGCACCAGAAATTGCAGGGTTCCAAAGGTACATCAAGGGTCACCACGGAAACCACAGGGAACAACACTGGTGTCCCGGCCTTCTGGAACAGACGGAATGATAGAAAGTAAGGCAGAGCAATCCACGGAGAAAGCTGAGTGGGGCTTGGGGGCCTGATCACCGCCTAGCGAAAGGGTCAGGGACCATCAGAAATGGAAGGTGACGTTGACGTGTACCCTGCGGAGTCATCTCCAGCTGATAAGGAGAACCACTCTGTGAGTGTACATTTCACTTACACGGTTACCTATGGCTAACTTAAATAACACCAAGATCCAAGTAGATGTAATCACTGAAGGCCAGTAAAAATTAGATTTTGGAAATGGATTTGTACGCTAACTCTATGCTTTACCAATACTAACATGTGTTTGTATACTCTAACCCTAGAGCATTACACTCTTACTGAATTCTACTGTAATTCCTGTGAGTTAGAAATTAGTATAATCTCTATTTAGTAGCAGAGGATACCAAATTCAGAATAAGGTATATTGCTAGTGCCAGAGTGATTCCTGAAACCAGGGCTCCTGCTTATACATCCAGGAATTTTCCCCACTACTCCAGAGTACAAACAGACTGACTTAGGCATCCAGATGATTTACCTAAATTAATCTCCCAAACATAATTACTCATTTTTTATTCATTCTTCAATTATTTGTTGAGTGTCTTTTGCGTTAGTTTTTCTTATCTTTAAAGTGAGACTAATAGTAGAACAGTACATACATCATAGCTGACTGAGGTGAAAACTGATAAAACTTGCTGTGGTTGACTTGTAATAAAATTTAGCCACTCATCCAGGCATGGTGGCATACACCTATAATCCCAGCACTCGAGAGGCTGAGGCAGGAGGATCACTGCAAGTTTGAGGCAACTCTGGACTACATAGTGAGCTCAAGGCCAGCCTGAACTTCATGGCTGGAGCCTGTCTCAAAAAACAAAAACCAAAAAACCAAAAAAACAAAAAACCCAAACAGACAAACAATAAAAAAACCTTAACCACTGTTGCTCTTTTTCTCATAGAAATATATAGAGTACAGTAGAGACTTGTATTAAATGTGCATTTGGGAGTGAACATTTGAAACTTGAGATTCCGATGTGTAGCTCACTAATGGCATGGCATGGCAGTTTCCCAGCACAGCATTGGTGGGGTGGTCACAGCTGAGGTGGTGATGGAGGATGAGGAGTGGGATAGGGAGGGTTTATATATCTATATCTATACATACCTGGGGATTGAACCTAGGGTCTTTGCACTGAGCTACATCCCCAGCCTTGTTATTGTTTTATTTTGAGACGGGTCTTACTAATTCACTAAGTTGCCCATGCTGAGCTTGAGCTGGAGCTCTTCCTGCTTCACCACCCACCCTCCTGAAGAACTGTGGGATTACAGGCGTGGACCACTATGCCTGGATTATTTTATATATTTTTTGGTGAGAAAAGTTCACTTCAAAATAAATGTAGATGGATACATTCTGTAAAATTTTAAAAATGCATAGAATTGTTAGGCTATTTGAAAAACTAGCGTACTGGACAATAAATTGACTACTACTGCTCCTGAGTCTTCCTTTTTTATCCTCCTTTTCATTTTTATATCATGTGTGGCACTGGGGATTGAACCCAGAGCCTCATATAAGCCAGGCACACACTACCGGTGAGCTACAAGCCCAGTCCCAGAGTCTTTCTCTTACCTTCTAAATCGGCATCATTGTTTGTTGGCTGCATTAGAGAAGGTGAGATGACTATGGAATTAACTTGCTAGAGGTGGTGCTCCCTGGGCTGGGGCTGTAGCTCAGTGACCAGACACCTGTCCAGGTGTGTGACACCTAGGTTCTGTCCCTAGCTCCCACTCACCAAAGAATTAATGTTCACTAAACCAGTATTTTCTATACCATGGTTTGTAGAATGCTACTACACTACAGTGAACCACAATCAATTTTTGTAGAGTAGTGGGAACCAAACACAGGGCCTCCTCCATGTACTTCAGATGTTAATAGACGCCAGTGAGGAGCACAACGGGGGCAATACAATATCTTCTATTGGTTCATTCCAAGCTTAAGGTATTCCAGTATTTTTTCTAAATGTTTTGAAGAAATAGTTATAGACACTATGCATTTTATTTGACTCTTTATTATCTCAAAAATGTAAGACCTATAAGCTAAATAATGTAATTTAAGATAATTTAAGAGGAAATTTAGAGAAAGTTCTTTGTATTAGAGCAAATTATGAATTCTGGCTTTTATTCCTACCACCAAACAGTTCCATCACTTTAGTAAATCAGTTGTTCATTACAAAACTTAGTTACTTGTTTTCTTATTTTTTGCTCCTATTTTGCTCCATCATCTTTTTGTTTGTCTGTTTGTTTTGTTTTTTTGGAGACAGGGTCTTGCTCTGTAATTCAGGCTGGCCTGGAACTCACTATGTAGTCCAGCCTGGCTTTGTTTTTTTTTTCAATTTTTATTTTAAAGAGTAAAAGAAGGATAACATAATAATGGGGGGGGATTACCAAATTACAGACAAAGTGGTAGGAAATTATCAATGGTTATTGTTTTACATATTGTTATCTACAAGATAGTTTCTCAGGAAAACAAATAGACAAATAATAGTGAGTTACAGACAAAAGAGCTAGGAGATTATCAATAGTTGTTGTACTATACTTTGGTATCTTCAAAGTGGCTTCTAAAGAAAATAAAAAGAGCCATACATGAGTAACCAATTGATCATTAACTATTCTCAATGGTTGTTGTAGGAAACACATAATAATAAATATATATCCATTTATGAAATAGGATAGGAACAATACAAACATTGCAGAGTTATGAATAGATTAGTAGGAAAATATCAATGGCTGCTGTAATACATGGTGATATCTTCAAAGTGGTTTCTCAGGAAGACATAGATACAGAAGAAGGATCTAACAAGTAGTTACAGCCTAAGGGTTGTCAAAAATAGCATATTACCTCCTCACCAGTGACTCCTTTCACTGAGGTGTGATAGCTGGAAAGAAGGCCAGGATTGAAAAGAAGGACTGAGAAACTTGCACCTGTGTTTAGCAGCAGGCTGTTTTCTTGTTCCTCCATAGTCACGATTACCCGGGGTTCCTCCATGGAGATGACAGTCTGGCCAGAGGGAGGAGGCAGAGTATGCCCCGGGCCCCCTCATTCCTGTTGGACTAACTGGTAGGATGGGTCTGAGCTCTGGGGCCTCCACTTCAGAGGGCAGATATCTCCAGTAGTCTCATTTGCATTCAGGGCATGGCCCAGCGGGCAGCTTAGGGCAGTTCCTCTTGAGGTGGCCTGGCTTTTAACAGTGGTAGCAGATGAATGCAGTTGTCAAGTTCTTCTTGGAGCCCAGGGAATCAGACTTAGGGTCTGTTTCTCTTAGTGCTGCAGCAAAAGCAGCTGCTTTTTCTCAGTCTCTTTGTTTTCTCTCCTTGGCCGCCTCCTCCTCGTTACAGCTATAGAATACTGAGGAGGCAATTCTTACTAACATCTCAAGTGAGCTATCTGGGGCGAAAGCCATTTTTTGCAGCTTTTTCTCTCCAGCCTCCCTGTGCATTGGGACCCCACAACCAGTTAGTGTCTTCTCCCCAACCGTCAGCAGGAATCTCATTGCAGACCTCCCCCGTCCTCCACGCGCTCCTCCACCGCAGCCTGTACTGTCAGGGGAAGCATGGCTTCCAGGGGATCTCCCCAGGTATTGCACAAGGTCCTCCTGGTTTACAGCTTCCCAACGGCTCTCATGACCCTGGTCCACAGGACCTCTGACTCCTCGGGCTTAGTCTGCATTCTCATGTTCTCTGAGTCCTTGTTCAGCAGCTGCTCCTCTGCTGACTCTGGACCTTGCTGGTTCTCAATGGCAGGGGCAAGAGTGACCCTTTGTGTGGCACGTATTCCCAGGGGTTTCCCCATGTTGGAATGATTCATGCATGTCCATGGGCAGGCCTCCGCAGCCAGTGCGTGGTGGGCCAATTGTGTCATTGCTTCTCTGTGCCATGATAGTTTTGAATTGTATGGTGGTGGTTGGCCAGAGGGCTGGCGTGCACCAGCATGTGCTGCCGTGGTACCTGAGAGGCTGAGGGCCAGCCTGAAGGCCGGTGCTCCCTGCCGCATGGCTTCCTGGGTGCCAGGGGCCCTCCTCCCCCAGCCTGGCTTTGACCTCATGACAATCCTCCTGCCTCAGCCTCCCGAGAGCTGGGATTACAGGTGTATGCCACCATGCCTGGCCTTTGTGCTACATAATCTTTAACAAATAAAAGATCGTTAAGAAACTCCCAGCACTCATCCATCACCCTATGCCCCACCTCCAGGTGCCTCAGCTGAATTCCTGGGGCAGTGCGGAGTTTGACAATTCTAACTGGCTGATCTTCCAGGCTTCTCTTGGTTCTTCTTTGATTCAGTTTTTGCTTTTTGGGACAGAACCTCACTATGTAGCCCAGGCTAGTGGAATCAGTGAGATCCATCTGCCTCCCAAGCACTGGCAAGGATTTGAATTCTTAAACAGGCATTCATGGGATGCTGGGTGAGGCCAAGGTGCTAGCTTATGAGCCACACTGTCTACATACTTTTGGTATTCTGATTCTACTGTAATAATCTTTTTACATACATAGTTTATTATTTTTTTGCTGTGGTGGGGTCAAACCCAAACCCTGTACACACCAGGCAAGTGTTCCACTGCTGAGTTCCAGCTCTGTTTATACATTTTACTTAAAGCTGCTTTACATTAGTTTTGGTATCAGACAAAGAACAAACTGTCAAAATACAAACCATTCAAGTTACAGTGAACTCCAAATTAGTTAGCAGTATATATTTCTATTGCTTCTCATGCTTAATCTGAAATTAATTTCTGGAAAGAATTGAAAGTATATATTCTATATTTTTTTTACTTGCTTAGGTAACTTATTATCACTACTGAACAAGAATGCTCTAATGATATAGTCTACTGAGAAATGACGACCATTTTAAAACAGTAGAATATGTAAACCACACAGCTGTCAGGTCTTCGACTATCCTGAGCTCACTTTTCCTTGTCCTCTTCCAGTGAGAGAGTATCTTCCTTTTTTCCCCTTGCAGCTCCATTGCTTCTGCCCCCATCTGAATCTTTTTGGATTTTCTTTCTGGTCTCATGACTGGTCACAACCCGGTTGCCATGCCTGCATTGCCTTGTGGGATACACTTTATGAGGAGCTGGGCAACCTGAAGACACTGAGCTGGAGAGTGAGGAGGCTGGAAGCCCTGTGAGGTGGGAGCAGGCTGAAGAGCAGGAGGGTTTTAATCTGGGGCATTTTAAGGGGGAAGGGGTGATCAAGGGAGCTGCTCTGCTTTCTCTGATACCAGGCATCGAACTGAGCACTTTGCACTTGCCTGGCAGGCACCGTGCCACTGAGCTACATCCCCACCCCCTGCTTTGCCCTTTTGAAGAGTTGTCTTGTGTGAGAGTGACTAAGAGTCCTCAGCACAGCCTCAAGGGGAAGAGTTACAACTGGAGGGCGCTGACATCATCTGCAGCTGGCTCTGGCCCGCTCTGCAGGTGCACACGCTCAAGCTGCAGGGTGTCTGAAACCAAGCTCAGAAGATAGTTGCGTTCAACTCAAACGCCGTTTGTCAGCTCAAGGCATTTTCTCTACTAACCTATTGGATTTCTGTAGGTAACATTCGCTCCGTTTTCTGTAGTTGGGTGACGTCTTAGATCTCTTGTTTTCTTTATGGGCAATACACCCTTTTTTACTGTTGCTTAAAATGAAAGTCCATTCCTTCCATTTATAATAGGTGGGGTGGCTGGGAAGAATTTCGCTCCATCATCTTCCTCCACAGACTGTAAACGCATGCCTTTATTATGAAACCACAACCCCCAGGAACCTTGACCTCATGATAATTGAGGGAATAATGTGTTTTATGATCTCATTAGAATCTTGGCATGTGTACATGCTGCGGGTGCACTGTCTTGTTCACAGTTTTCTTCTAGAATATTAAAATAGTTTTCCATTGTGCAGATTTGAGAGATTCAATTATAGCGACATTTATTTTTCTTTGAGTAACATCAAAAACATTACTTACAACAACTTGTTACATTTTTTTTTTTTTTTCCTGGTATGGGGAACTGAACTCATGACCTCATGCTTGCCAGGCAGGCACTGTGCCGCTGAGCTAAATCCCCAGCCCAGCAACTTGTTACATTAAAAAATTCATTATAATATTCATATAAATGTGCTAAGGTAAAAGCTTTTAATTTTCGTTTATTTTAAGGCTTTCTATTTGTAATTCTCTGAAAATGTAGATTTGGAGTTCTTTTCATGAGATTATGAAATTAAAAATGTATGCACTGAATGAGAACTCAAATTTCTATTTTCTAAAAAAATTATGATGGTGCTCAAATCCAGGATTTTGCATACTAGGCAAACACTCTACCACGAAGCTACACCCTTAGCCCCCTACTTCTATTTTTGTGGAACATGGCCTTGCTATTAGTGCAGAAGGCCCTGAACTCACTATGTAGCCAGGCTGGCCTCAAACTTGAGCTAATCTTCCCGCCTCAGCCTCCCCAGTACAGGATTACAGGTGTGTAGCACCATGCCCAGCCTCTACTTCTAATACGCTTTTTCTATACAACGCTTAGATGAAAAGTTCTTAGGGAACTTGATTTTACATGCGACAAGAATTTAAATAAACAACTTGCAAATAGGTTGTCATCATTGTATCTATGTCTTCTTAAGCGATTCACACACTTTGGTTTTCTGTATTTCACATAAAAATCTCAGAATTTTTTCAACAATAATTTGAATTGGCCAACACGATTGTTGACGCTAAGATTTGCGAGAGTGAACATCAGGCAAAATTCACCTCACAGAGCGAGGTCGGCATATTCGAGAGCTGAAGCGCATCTCCACGGAGTTCAGCAGTGGGTACACTCCTCGGAACTTTTACAACTTTAAACAGTCTTGCAAGATATTTTTCTTCGTATATGCAGATGAGGGGATGTTAGCAGGTGTTTTGGGTAATTCTTTCAGCTCTATATGACTCTGGGCTTAGAGTTTAAAGATTTGGATGTTAGCATAGGCGTTTTTTAACTGTCTTACGAGGACGTATTTGGCTAGACTGACACGCTCTGAATGACCTTACTGAACATCAAGTAATACGCTGTCTGTGCCTGCTTAGCTTTCGGAGAGCCAGCCAAGCCGCCCAGCGGCCGAGGACCACGGGGAGCCTCCGCAGGGCAGGGCAGTCCGCGCGCTCTCGCGTGTGCGCCCCCTCTCTGCCCGGAACGCAAGGGCGGGCCCCGGCCGGGTTCCGCGGAGCCCGCGCCCTCGCACGGGGGTCTCAGCGCCGGTCCGGAGGAAAGGCGCCCAGGGCTGGCTGGTGGCGCCCCGCTTCGAAGGTGGCCAACCTGGAGGAGGGAGCCGCGCTGGGAGACCCGTCCCGGGCCTCCTGCAAGGAGCGCCCCCCTGCCTCCCTGCGGGCTGCGGCCGCCAGCCCCCGGCAGCTCTTTTG